GTAAATAAGAGTAAATAAAAATCATCATGAAAAGTTTTATTTTTTTCCTTCTGATCTTAAATTATTCTGAAAATACATAAGAAAAAATTCTTTTTTTACTAATTTTCCTACAACAAAACAGGTTTTAAATTGTTTAAAACAAGACACTTTACACAAAAAAATGTAATTCAAATTTCACATAAAAAAATATTTTGTATTCGAAAACGCGCAGTTCATTATGAATTACTTCAATTTCTAAAATTGCTTCTTGTAAACTATTATTAATTATTTCTATCAATTTTTCTTGAACATCAGTGTCATAGCCATTATCAGCATTTAAAGCCTTATCCAAGTTGGGATTAATGTTTAATTTTATCAGACTACTTTTATTCTCTATAAAGGAAGTAAAGAAACTCTTTAAATCTGAAAGATATCTAAATTTTTTAGTCAAAGTTTTTTTAATTCCACATGTATTAAGCAAAACACTCATTTAATTTGAAAACTCATTGATGGTTAGAAAAAATATTTTGAATAGTTTACTAGCAAATGATTGATGACAAAAAAGGTCAAGTAAAACCTTTTCTTGATTAGGTGATTAATTCAATGTAGGGATAACTTCTTTTTTCTTTGTTTTTCTAGAATTGCAGTTACAGATGCAACAAAGCCAGTTAAAGTACTGGCATAACCTTTTGACGAATTCCCTCCAGTGTTTAATGCAGATCTAAAAGCAGATGAAAAAAATTGATTTATTCTATCATCATACTGAATAAAACCACAAATTGTGAATTCTCTTTCAAATTACCTAGTACAACCAAAATAATGCTCACAAGGTTCTTCAGTACAATATCTAGGGCATTTAATTCGCTCCTGTGGGTACAAAAAGATAGACACTATTGCATTTGCAACAATGTTCTTTAAAGTTATAAAGTGAATACCTTCAATTGATAAAAACCAAATCATTGTGCACCATTTAAAAGCAATTCTTAATTGAAAACCAATATCGTCAGCATTTGTTGAAATAAGAAAAAGTCTGAAAAATACTAACGTTAAAGAAAGTGTGTACTGTGATTGCTTTGAAATTGCATGACTGTAAAAATCTGCTTCTATTATTTTTTATATTAATTTATGGTCACAAATTCCTAACACTAAGGCATCAGATGATAAGTCTTTAACTTCATATAAATCTCTAGATATATTTAAACTTGCATGTGCAAATTTCCAGTTGAATCAGATACGACCCAATTGTTTTTAATTCAGTCCTAGACAAAATTTGATTTCTTAAGGCTTTCGCAACATGATTATCATCTAGAAAAGCAACTTCATTTGTTTTTTCATCAAGAAATGATAATAAAATCTTTGTTATCCATTTACTTTCGTATGATACACAATCTGTGCAAAATAAAACAACTTCAAAATTGGGTGTCTTGTTAAAACATCATAAATGTGATTATTGAATGTATGATTACTTTCATTTGTACTTTGGGGATGAATACATAGAAGTTTTATTGGTGTCATTCCTTCGAGACAGTTGTGAATCATTATAACAACTGCTTTAACTTCTGTTGCTAGATCTATTGCACTGTCAATACCATTAAGTGTTTCATCATTTATTTTTAGTATATGATTTGGCGCAACCTTTCCCACAATACAATTAAATTTTTTACAAGTTAAAAAGGCTGGAATTACTTTGGTAGCATCCATAGATACAGACACAATTAGTTTATTGGTACCAGGCATTATTTCATAAATTTTATCTAATCTTTTGTTAAGGCCATCTAAAGAAACATCAAGAATAAAACTATTTGATGTTTTTGCAGTGACGCGTTGTATATGTCTCAAGGAAAGACTAGGGAGATTCGCAGCAACAAATCTATAAACACATTTACTAAATGTTTGAAGCATTAAAAAAAAATCTAACATCACAATTTGAAATTTTTCATTCGTCTTACCACTTGCTTTTGAAATTAGACAAGACTGCATTGCATGTAGTAGAGTTCCATTTTGTTTAGGATTTTCTTTGTAAAGTTTATGAATGATCAGAAAAAGGAATCATATCCTGAAATTTGATTTGTTTCTGAAACAGTAATTCCAATTGCCAAAAGTTCTTTTTTCAGATTTAATAATGAAGTAATACCTTCAATTTTTAAACTGACCTTTGCAGCTAACAGCTTTTTTCATTACACCATGCATGATTAAGTTTACAGCTCTTTACAAATTTTTTGAGTGCTTTTAAGTCTACTTCACGAATTTCAGATGATTCGATAATCATCTGAAATTCTAAAACATCTCTTACAACATCCATTGCTTCTAATCGACTAGTGAATGATCTATTTCTACATAAATTAATGCAATAATCACATTTTTTGATGTGATTTTCAGTACATTGAATGCTATGAAGATAAATTTTATCATCTATTTTAACAAGTTTTGCGTTATTATTTATCATACTATTTATAATGCCATAGGAGTTAAAAAAGACTACAAGTTCTCTTCTCTTATTACATACACCATCGCATAGTTTAGTTAATTTTATTTTAGCTTCAGGAATAATACTAAAATCAATTCCAGAATTAGCTACAACTTCTAATTTCAAAACATTTAGAAAAACAATTGGAAAAAACTAATGCATATTAGTTTGAAAAAGCCCAGCTTCATTTTCTTTACGAACAGATACCTCGTGTAAAATGGATTTACAATGCTGATCGTACTCATGGGTAGTTGAAAATCTTCCCTTTCTTACTTTGATTCCGACGTTACATAGCAAGCATTGTATATTGTTACCATCTTGATCCAGTTTAACATATTTCTTTGATTCTAACTGTACTGCTTTATCAGACCACTCTACTTTCCTTTTAGTAGCCATATTTGATTTTGCTTTGCGCATTTATATAAAGCGCGGGTCTGAAACAGAAGGCCTTAAAATTCTAACACCCTATTTACATTATGCGATGTAGGCCTTCTAAAATTGAAAAAAGACCCGCATACCCGCAACCGAAGGCCTTCGGTTAATATTTGAGAACCGCACGCCGACAAACGGAAGGCCTTACTTTTTATCTATGTCACCCCTCCTGTGACCATACAGCGCAAAAACATTTTCAAGTTCAAAATAAACGCACCTCTATAGAGGTGGGCTCTGCATCTCCTTTTTCGTCGCATTGATTTTTTTTTTGGATTATTGATATCTTGCATGAAGTATGAATAAGACACTCAAAAAGTATTGTCCATATATGTCTAACTGATATGGACTTAACACTTGATAACATTGATATGGACTTGATAACTGATATGGACTTAACACTTGATAACATTGATGTTGTAGCAATCTATCGATTGTTACAAAAACAAAATTAATCTAAAATAAATAAGATTGGTTGTATTACTAAATTGTTTTTTTAAACGAACATCTGATGTAAATACAAAAAGAAATAAAAAAAAATTGAAACTTTAAACTTTTAAACTGAAAAGTCGCCAATCCTAATTTCTATTTCAAATAAACTCAGAATCAATATCAACTGATTTCACTTTATCTTGAAAGTTTTCTACTGGTACCATAAGTGTTATATGCCTCATTAAGACAATGAGGCATAACAATTATGCTTCACAAGATAACAATTCATGGTCAAAGAAATGTAAAGTCTGGCTTTGCAAAGGATCTGCTCAATCAAGGTATACAAGCAATAATAAACTTTAACAATATAAGAAACGTTATTTGCTTAAAAATTAAAAAATGAACTCTAATGAAAGTGTCATAACAAGAATTTTATGTGCATATAGAAAATCTGATTTATCAATAGAAAAAAGTTTCTCATGAATTTATTGAACTTTTTATTTGCAAGAAACCTACGTTCTAAAACGTAGAATTTGGTAAATTTTTTTTTTTAATACAAAAAGTTTGTTATATTGATTACAAAGGTTTTAGCAATAAATATGAGGTTGATGTTCAATTTTGTAGTTTGTATAAATAAGCTATAAAAATTCTAATTAATAATATTCTAAATGTCTACAAAAACTACTGAAAAAACTATTTTGTTTTGAAAAACTCGGTTTTGACTTACTACGTATTGTTCGGAGACTCTTAGGCACTTATTTCAAATTTTATTTACATAACTATTTTTTTTTAATATCAAATGTAATTAGTGCATATTTAATAGTTATTAAAAGTTAGCTTCCTTTTAAACAGTTTTAAATAAATCGTTTCTTTTAAACAGTTTTAACACGTTATTAATAAATCGCTTCTTTAAACAGCTAGAATATGTTATTTATTATATTCAAATAAATATTTTATTAAAAAATAATTGGATCTTTAGTTCAACATTTTTTTTAACAAATAAATAATGTTGTTAAGTTAACATTGTCAAAAAAGATTTATTTTCTTTTAAGGATTTTACTTGACTGCATTATTAAAGTGTTTATACTAAGTTTCTTAACTCTTAATGAAAAAAAAAATTGTGAAAAAACTATTTGTAAAACCTTCAAAAACCCGCCTTAATCCTAAAAGTCCAGAAAAACCCTTTCAACAAAGTATTTACATGTATTGTTTTTGAAATTTTATAGCAAACTTTATACAACTTATAGCAACTTATACGAATTTATATAAAGTAAAATTTGAGAAACTTGATTTAAATTTAAACGCAAAGGAAAAATATATTAACTTTAATATCAATTTAAAAATATAGAACATGATCTTGAGAAATTCTTGTTAATATTACTGTTAGAAGAAAATAAAAAAATTATCTGCCATTATATTTGAATAGTATTCAATTATTTACAATTATTACATTATTTAATTATTAATAAAATATATTACAATTATTTTAAACTTATCTTTATCTTCTGTTTAAATCTTGTATTGTTTAGTATTTATTTCTCACCTTTTTGACACTTATTTTTGTTTAAACTAATTAAAAATTTTATGATTATATGTTAATAGAAACTATTGCTAAATAATGTATAAAATTTTTATGCAGTCAACTTTTTGAAAATATTGTTTTAGTAAATCAGTTTTAAATAAAGCGATTTCAATAAAATGTTTTAATTTATTCATTTTTCCAACTTTGCATAAATCTTTCCGCTTTTATGAAAATTAAAATGCTAAAGTACAATTAGTAAGTAACATGTGTAATATATTTAATCTTTGAACATTTGGAAAACGAAATATGTCAAATATGTAAACATTTAAATGTGTTGCTTTTACGTGGCTATACACCTCAATGATAAACATTGATTTTTACACTTATATTTAAAAACGCGCCATGTTTGTTTTCACGATACAGAACCAAAGTTTATCAACTGTCTACTTCGCAAGACGTTAATGAACATATAAGAAAAAGTTTACAAAGAATAACACAAGAACATACAAGATTAATAGAACCCTGTAGACAACAAAGAGAATATAAAATGTATTCAATGATGTTTAAAGCATTTATAATTATTCAATTGATAAAAATGATAAGCAGTTTACAATACTTATCAGAAAACATTTTTCCTGACATTCCAAAATTTTCTCAAAGTTTACTAAATGATCTTTGCAAATTAAACACTGCCTCAACATGCTCTTGTGACCCCTCTTGTTTTAAATATGGCACGTGTTGCATTGACTATCTATGGGATGCTAACTTGAATGAGAACATTGAGTTGTATAAAGCTCGATATTTAAATGCTGTAAAACCGGTTAAATATTTAAGTTGCCAACCTTTACTAAAATTGTCCGAATCAAAAAAAACTTTCTCCGAATGGTTGTACATGGTGGCAGAATGTCCAAAAGAAACAAATAAAAAGCTTGCCGACTTGTGTACAAATCAAAATAAACTCAGATTTCCTGTTATTGGAAGTAACAAGATAGTTTACAAAAATCAATATTGTGCTCAATGCAACTCAGTAAACACTTATGAACAATTGAACGTGACCGCAGATTGTATTGGAAATAAAAACGACACAAGTCATATAACTGAAAAATATAACAACTGCAAGTTTAAACTTCTAAATAACGATATTATTCAATTTGTTAATTATTGCAAAGAAAATGTTTACGACAATTGCACCAACAACTCAATTTCATGCAGATGGTGCAACTCTTATGTTGCTTTGATTTCATACGAAAATAAATGCTACAAAAATATCCATTGTCTCATTGAAGTTTTGCAACGCACGCCTAGTAGATTTGACTTGTGTCCATTCATAACAGACGAGTTTGAGCAACAACTGGCAGATCATTTTCCTTACGGTTCTAATATAATCCCGTTACCACGTTACTCTGTTCTTGTGAGTTTTGCATTAAGTGATACTGAAATTTATAATACAAAAAAATGCAGCAAAGATAAAGCATATGATGTGACTACCAATACGTGTGTTGATCTTGTACAATGTATCTTTGGATTTCACTTAGAAGGAAACACTTGCGTGCCAACAGTAGACAGTAGAGCAGAAACTGAATGGATAAACACTTCAAAAAAAATATTATCTATTGAAGAAATTAAAAATCAGTGCACTAAAAATTTAATCCTTGATGATAAAACTAACAAAGAACAAAAGATAGAAAATAAGTATTTAATAAGCAATACGTTTAACAATTCTCACGAAAGGTTGTTTAACAAGTCAAAAAATATCAGTCAAAAGAAACAGAAAAATATTTTTACAACCGAATTGTACGGGGAAGATCAATCTCGAGTTTTTCCTAACCGACTGTGCGCTGAACCTATAATATCGGATAAAGAAAGTTTTAATATATCGGGTAATTGTACTCTATACTTCAACGCATCTGAATATTCACCAAATAATTACATAGTTCTTTATGCCAGAAAAAAATCTCCTTTATATAGAGTTGTTACATGTAAGCGTTTTCATTTAAGCAAGAGTTGCAATATGAGAAGAATATTAAACTACACGTATTTTAAAAACAAATCCATTTTTGATCATGAAACCAGAAAAGTTTACGCTGCAGAAGAATACGCGCCTCTGGACACTGGAATAGGAGTATGCATACAGTATTACTCAAAATTACTTAATTGGATTTATACAGCACAGCGTGTGGAGGGTTATATAACAATTGTTGGTTGTTCATTAAGTATTTTAGGTTATATTGTTACTATGACAACGTACGTTATAATACCTGAACTCAATACTGTACCAGGCAAAAGTATTGTCTGTTTGTGTTTTATGTTATTAATTTGCGATATGATCACGTTATCAGCGCAATCATTTGATCAAAAATGGTGCAAAGTATCATCTTATCTCATTCATTTTTTTTCTTTATCGGCACAAATGTGGTGTACTGTACTTGCATACGATATTTGGTTAACGTTTTCTGGGAAAAATATCATGCGTGACACAAACAAAAGGAGACTATTTTACTTTTATTGTGCTTTTTCGTGGTGTAACCCGCTAATTTTACTTATAATTATTGTTTTGCTAGAAAAAACAAATATTCTCAACCTTGGCTACGGTGCAAATGGCACATGTTGGATTAACAGTCAAATGGGCCGTATTGTTGCATATATCATACCTGTAATTTTAAGTACCACTTATGCAACAACAACTTTGTTTTATACATTGCTACGAATATTTAAGCAACAAAAAAAGTCCGGAAAATTACTGAAAAAATCTGGAGGTGAAGATGTAAGCTTTGTAAAAATGGCTGTAAAGCTAATTTTACTTGTAGGATCTATTGAAATGGTAGGATTTCTTCAAACTAATAGCTCATCAGAGACAGGAAGAGCATTTAACACAATATTCAAACTTCTATTTTCTATCTTTCGATCGTTTCGTGGTGTTTTTATATTTTGGCTTTATGTTGTTACAGACAGAGTTCTAACAATTTATCGCGATATAAAACGCACAAAATCTTTTAGTTCGTCAAAAAGATCCAATATTCAGTCTATTTTAAAGAGAAAAGAAGCGTTTAGTGAAACGAGTACTGTGTAGAATCAAACATTTTGAACATGTTTAATTTAATTAATTATAGTAATATAATATAAAAAGATATAAAATGGTTATAAATGGTGCTATACTTAGCCCAGCGTGCACAGACGTCTATAAGACGTCTATACGACACCTTGTAGACATCGCAAATTCGTAGGGCGTCCTTTAGACATCCAACGAACATATGACTGAGAACCATCAATTACTTAATCTTAACAGCTAATAAAGTAAAAATAAAGAGGACTCACCCCCTTCAAATTGTTTTCGATAAGAACTATTACATTTTAAATAAGAATAATATTACATTTTAAATGAACATTAGAACTATCACATTTTAAATGCTTTAAAATGTGAGAGTTCTAGTTTAAAATTGGTAAAAATAAAAACTAAGAAAATAAGCAAAGCGTAAATAATTTTGTAAAAAAAGCTACAGTAGGATATTATTTCTTAAAGCTTTTCTTAGCTTAACAAAATTCTTAGCTCAAAAAATTAATTCAAAAATTACTTAGATTATAGAAAATGATACAACATGAACATTATCTATAAATTAAAAATCTTATCAGGTCTCAGGCCCCATCATAAGAACAAGTACATCATAAAAACCATTTTGCGGTGGACTTTTGAATAACTCTTTTAGTTCTTACAGGCAACAAACTTAACACTCTTTTTATAGCTAATTATAGATGTAAATGGTGGTGGCAAATTCAGAAGTGCATTAAAAGGATAAATACCAGCAAAACCTTAACTACATCTACACATCAAGTATAACACTATGTAGTTTATATCGAACTCTCATGGCATAAACATAAAAATGTTTTATAAAAAAAGATTAAAATGCAAACTGAGAAAATAAATGCAAAATTGTGAGAAATTAATGTGAAAACATAATGAAAAAAAATAGTGTCAATCAAAAAAGAAGATGAGTCAGATAAAAAAAGGAGTTGATAAATTTCAAAAGTTTGTCAAACGAATGTTCCTATTGAACATTTTAGATTCATTTTACTTAGTTATCTACACTCTCACCAAGTTGAATAGGATAAACATATCCACAATTCGATTTCCAGTAATACCATCATTCAAATGCTGAGGAATATGCTATTATATTTATGCTTAGTTGGTTTTTCAGCTTAGTAAAAAATCTTGTTTTTGGTAATGGTGATGAAGAACTTGGAACAAGATCTAACAGTAAAGATTGCATGGATACACTTGTTTTTTGTTTGTGTATTGATTCCCATTTAAAAACTTTCTTTTTAATTTGAAAATTTCACTCTTTTTTATCAATTTTTTTTATCTGACTCATCATTTTTTTACCTGACACATTATTTGTTCTCATTATTAGGCTTTTTTTATTGAACATAATTTATGTAGTACATTGTATACATGATAAGAAAGTACAGTACATTTATGTAGTTCGTGTATACATGACAAAAAAGTTCTGTTTTTTTTGAGCTTTTCGAGACTTACATAGTAACAATTTGAAAAATTAGGAGCTTTGGGTTGAATTGGTTTTTTTTTATTGCTGTGAAATATTTTTAAAGCGGACACCATTGATGGAGAAAAATAATAAATATTTTCTTTAGAGCAATAAAGCAGACATCTTTATATATGACTTAACCGAAAATTTTGATTTTTTCATCAAAGTTTTAGACGTAATTTTCACCAAAAAATTTATTTATAATTTTCTTTACGAAGATTGTAAACGAAACACTGACAGAACGTAAATGGTACATGTACACAGGGTTATGATTTTTAATTAAAAAAAAAAAAAACAAATACCGAATTTTTTAATGTTGCATTTGATAAAGTTTTGACTATATTTTAGTTTTTGTTGTAATTTACTTTTGTTTGACTAAAAACCTCCCGTACTCAAATCATTTGATCTCTATATATTATTGCTGAACTTAATAGTAGTAGCGTTAGTGCCCATTCGAGTGTGTTTGACACAAAACCCTTGGTAGCCGCACTATGCGTCGCGAAGCGGAAATAGGATTTTACTTACTTATCAGAAAAAATTTTTCAATTTTAATATTTTAAATATTTTTTAACTGAAACAAGTTAGTATTAGTTAATAAAAAAAAGTTTTTTTTTAATTTTTTTAAATTTGCCTTTTTTAGGTGCGGGATTTTCAGGGGTAAAAATGTTTGTTTTCACTAAATCTTTAAATTACATAAGATAATTTTCAAATTTCTTAATTTTTTTTGCACATTTTTTAATAAATGAAACATTTCGTAAATTAAAAACCAAGAAAAGAAAAAAAAAATGTTTGGATCATTGTTTTTGGGTGTCTGTAAAGATTGATCGATTAGACCATGTTACTACAGAGGTAGCCAGTTTTTTATTTTTTTTAAATTTTATCAAACAAATTGACTTTTTATAAGTGAAATAATATTCTGGCTACCTTTGTAGTAACATGCTATAAAATCAATTCAAAAGAGGGGGATTTATTAAAAACCGGTTAGTTAGTTTTTGTCAAGAAGAAACTGGATGCGGGCGGAACATTCTTTTCTAGTCTTTAAGTTATAACCTAAGTTTGGCTCTCATCGTAATTTAGAATTTTTTTAAAATGTTTACTTTTAATCTTAGCAAACTTCTGGCTGATAATTTTCCTCCAAGGCATATTTTCACGAGTAAAAATGTATCTGAATGTGCTAAATTTTTGCAGTCTTAGTTTTTATCACTTTATGCTGATTGCACTGTGAATTTCAACATTTTCAAAAGTCTGGCTTTTAATTTAATAAAAAAATTTAATGAGTGTGGAAAAAGAAAAAAGTTCTTTCTTACTAAATATAAATATTTTTTGGATCAAAATCAACAATGCAAATAACTCTTGTGAGTATAATATATTCTATATTGATTTATTATAAATAAGTAATAAATATTGCATTATAGTATATATATATATATATATATATATATATATATATATATATATATATATATATATATATATATATATATATATATATATATATATATACATATATATATATATATATATATATATTATACTTCTGCGTGTAGATTAGAAAAAGGTTCTGAAAAAGAGATTAAAACACATGAGGAAGAACTGCTATTAATTAGAAAAGGTGAAAATCTGATTAAACAGGGTAATCAACTCATCAAGCAGGGTGAGCGTAAAATAAAAGAAGGGGAATTACTGCTTCGTACTTATGGATCCAATGTTAACAGGTATGCATAGATAAATTTATCTCTCTCTTTTTATTTTGCACACACACATACATATTGTTTGACTATGTTTCACAAAACCTTCAAAATGTATATATGTTTCCATGTATTTTTTTATTATTTATAGTGTACCATGTAGAGTACCTAAATCATCTGCAGTCAATACATCTTGTACACCAAAACCTAGAAAGTCTTTTATTAAGCTTACAAACAGGATGAAGCGTAAAAGAACAGATAGTCTTAGAGAACGAGAGGTGAAAGAACTGCAACATGCTGTCAAAAGGTTTAAATTTAATTCTTCTACTGATGGAAGGGCTATTTTATATGGTTCAAATTTGTCATTGCAAGCTCTTTGTAATTTGAAACTTACAGATAGAACATGGACTGAATTTAAAAATATAGTGACTCATAATCGTCATCTTGTTCCTCCAGGTTTAACCAAGTTGAAGCAATACAAAAAATTGACATATCCAGAACAGGTTGAATATTCTGAAACCGAAGTAAAATGTAGTCTTTTCCATATGATAAAGCATTCAGTTTCTAGAGTGTTTGAATATCTTTTGGATTATGAAAGTAACTGCATAATGAATTTATCACAAGAAGAGCGTGATAATGTACAAATTATTTGCAAAGTAGGAGGTGATGGTCAAAGTGATCAATCTGAGTTTCAAAATTCAGCAACTATGAAAAGAGGTGTAGATGATCGCTCTGTGTATAGTATAGTGTTTGTACTGTTGGAGATTTGAAGTGGAGAAAAAATAATATGGAAAAATTTAATTCCAAATAGTCCAGATGCAACCCGTCATCTTCTTTTTTGTTTTGCAAAAGAGACTGCTAGTTTTATTTAGGAAAAATTTGAACATTTGAAAAATGAAATTTTTTTATTGAAGAATATTGAATTTAAACTTGGTGAAAGTACTTTTGTAGTAAAGTCTAGTTTGTCAACTATTTATACCACAATGAATGATGGCAAAACACTAAACGCTGTTGTATCAAATATGCTTAAAAAAAGAATTTCATCTCATTCCTGCCATGTATGCCTTGCAAATTCTAAGGAGTTTAACTTGAAAACTATTTGGAAAAAAAATATTAATTTAAACAAGCATGTTTTGAAACTTGGAATTTGCAGTCTTCATCAATGGATGCGCTGTATGGAGTGGATTTTCAATACTGCTTGTAAACTCCCAGCTGTTAAGCAAGGAAGAAATATTCCATCACAAAAGAGTAAAGAATTTATTGAAAACAAAAAAAAACTCCAGCATTTATTCAAGATACAACTGAATATAAGGGTTTCTTTTGTCAGGAAAGGATGTGGAACAACCAATACTGGAAATGTTGCTCGCAAATTTTTTAATAACCCGATTGTGACAGGGAGAATTTTAAACTTGGATATCAGAATGATTAAGTTGTTTCGAGATTTACTCATTGATATAAACAGAACAACTACAAGACCGGATATAAAGGTTTTCAAACAGAAATCTGAACATCTATTTGCACTCATAACTAATGATAAATTTTTAAAAACCATACCTATGTCACAATCTGTGCATAGAGTGATAGTTCATGGTACTTCTTTTTTAAGGTATTTTAAGTATCCGATAGGTTCTTTGTCTGAGAGTGCTATTGAAGCCAGAAATAAGGAAAACAAAACTGCTCGAATTGGTCATGCTCGTTTAACTTCTTTTGCAGAAAACACTAGGGATACAGCTAATTATTTGTTTATGACATCTGATATGTACCTCTTTTACAAAAAAAACAAAATGGATAAAAAAAGAGTGAAAACAAAATAGTTTAAGAAAGCAAAGTGACAGTTCTTCTGATAACTGCTTAAAATAAAGGTAAAATAGTTTTATTATTAATATTGTTAATAGTTTTAATTGATTTTTTTTTTGGTTATTTTAATTTTAACTCATAATTTTGGTTAATTAACAATTCAAAGTTGCGTTTTTTTTTTTGTTTTTTTTTTTATTTATTTATTTTTTTTTAGAAAATTTAAGAAATAATTTAATCAATTTTAACAAGCAATTAACTATTTTAGGAAGTAAGACCATGAAGAATCATACTGATGAGCTGTTCTGCGTTGAATTTTTAAATCATATGATAGCAGAGTTGTTTATTATATTCAATGATACTGTTTATTTTGAAATAGTGTTCATATACATAGTTTGTAAAATTCTATAAAATATAGGCGCCTACTTTTTTTTGAATAAAATCATCCGGACTTGTGTAGTTTTCCGTACAAATCTAGAATTAGTCCGGACTAACCGAAAAAAAAATACAATAAATTGTTTTTTTATGAAAACCGAATAGATTCTTTTAAATATAGAAATATAAATAAAAATTTGATGTCTTGTGAAAAAATAAGTTAAATATTTTAAGTCCTTCTTTATTTATATGCCTATTTCCTCATTTTGTATAAGAGCAACGCATAGTGAGGCGTTTTGAAAAACGGCTGCAGTATGGATGATACAACTAGGGATGGAAATCCCGGGATCCCGAAATCCCGGGACTTCGTACAAACTGTTTATCCAGAAATCCCGGGATTAGTCTCCGGGATTTCGGGATCGTCAAAAAAAAGGAAAAGTTCAAGCTTATAATTGTAGTTTAGTAATTTTTATATCGTCTTTGGTATAGTAGCTGGTTGTGTAATTATTTTTTCTCTTTGCAATGTTTTTATTTTAAAACTCTCTTTTTCTGATTTTTCTATAAAAAAACGTTATAACTTGTCTGCAAAATGTATATATGTTTATATATATATGTGTTTATATATATATGTTTATATATGTTTATATATATATGTTTATATATGTTTATATATATATATATATATATATTTATATATATATATATAATTAAAATTAAAAATATATAATGAAATAAAATTAATGTATAACTTTTATTAAAAACTCTTGCTCCTTCCACCAGCAAGCGCTTATATTTTTGTTATTTTTTATAATATACTAGTTTTGATATTATACTATATATAATATATAGTATATTATTAAAACTAGTATATTATAAAAATAAATAAAATTTAAGCGCTTGCTGGTGGAAGGAGCAAGAGTTTTTAATAGAAGGCATATATTAATTTAATTTTGAATTTTCTGCTTCCAAAAGTATGCGCGATTTTAATTCCATTTTTATATCCATTCATTTTAATTTTCAAACGTGTGATTTATGAAAATGCGTGATTTACGAAAACTTTTTTTTAACATCATGCAAATTTATATTATTTTTAATTTTTATTTTTATTCATACTGTGTTCCCATTTTAAGGTATTGTTTTATAATTTATAATACTTAGGTTTATTAATTTTTAAAAGTCTTAGATAAGTTTTAATACAAAATTAAAACATGGTTTAACTTAATTTTAGAGGTTCATTAATGTATTAAATATTTTAGTTATATTATCATTAAATTAACTATTTTTAAGTGTTTGATGAGTGCTTAAAAAAGTATTCAATTGCGTTTGCGTTTTTTTCTATTCAATCCCGGGATTTCCCAGGGACAAACTTCTCAATCCCGAAATCCTGGGATTGAAAATTTCCGGGATTTTTGCCATCCCTAGATACAACGAATATGTTGAAATGAGATAATTTGACGCTAAATTTAAAAGCTTTTAACAAAAGCCACTAAACCAAAAAAATTTAAAGTAATTGCAGTTCAAGAGCACTTGAAAATTTTAAGTAGAGAACATTGGCGTATGCAAAGCAACATATAAATCGTTTTTTAAAATAAAACTAATTTTTTTTAAACTTTGTTGTAGAGGCAGGTTAGGCCCTGAACCAACCCTATATAAATAATATATAAAAAAACGTATGTTATTTGTTTATGTATATATATATACATAAATAAATAACATACAATTTTATAAACAATATATTGCTTATAAAATGTAAAAAATCCACTTGTATAACGTTTTATTCAAGATCGTATGGAATATAAGTAAACTTTTATAATAACTACAAATCTTTTTTTGCTCAAGCTGTTTTGTTTTGATTTTTATAGGTATGTTATTATATTTTAAAAAATTGACAAGATTGAAAAAACACGAAACGTATTGACATCCAAGTGGAAAGTTTGAAACTTCAGTTTTAGATTTGCCCCTCTCTCTTGATAATTTCTGATTACTAAAATTACGTCATCAGCTTCTTAGAGCTTTAAAAATGATTGACGAGGCTTTTTCATAAATCGTTTAAGCCACAATTTTTTTGCGTATTTTTTTGTATTTTGCGTAAGCCACAATTTTTTTGCGGCGTCACTTTGTAACAAAAAACTAGAAAAACTAACTAGAAATAAGATTTAATTTTAAATTCTTTTAAAAAACTCCTTCTATTAAAGATATATGGAATATATTTTTATGGGATATTTTCCAATAAAGACAAAAACTATTTATTTATTACGATTGTAATAAAAACAATCTTTTATCCGTGAAATAATATATTTGTACCAGTTTTATATATTTTTATGCAATTGTATGCAACATTATTAAAATTAATCAAAAATGTAATATAAATGCAAAAGAAAACTTGACGCATAAAGTATTATTTATTTTGTCACCAACTGTCAATGCGCAAAAGTTTTTTGGCTTATCTATTAGATTTGCGTTTAATATTATTCTTTAGTTTTTAATCATAACCCTAACCCTAACCCTGACCCTGACCCTAACACTAACCCCTGACGAAAAAATTCTTATGAATATGATTAAAAACCCTTATTAAGGATAAACTTTTTTTATGACTATATTTGAGTCTCTAAGATCTTCTTAGTTCCATTTGTATATTACGTAAAACGTCTTTAAGTGTAAACGTCATATGTTGAGTTTGCAGGAATTACCGGTTTTTACATCCATTTCAAACAATCATGCCAACCATTTAAAAAAACCATGACATTCGTTTAAAACACCCCGACAATCAATTAAAACAATGTGATTTTCAATTAAAACAATCGTGATTTTCGTGTCACCTAGTTCAATCTACAAAATCCTGCATCTACAAACTTGATCTACAAAATAAAACATCTTCTAAAAAGTGGAAATAATTTTTATATGTTCTACTGAGGCCTAAAATGTTTTCAACCGATTATAGGCCTTTTTTAATTCGACCGATTTGACGTTTTCTATTTCGACCGATTTTTTTCTCAACCTATTTCACAGACTTTTAATTTCAACCGATTTGCCATAATTTGATTTTCGACCGAATATAGGGAAATTTCATTTCAACCTACTAGTCTGTGTTTTTATCGTTTTTCTCTTGCGCTTTTAAGGATTTTTCTATAAAAATCATTGACAATAAATCAAGAATAGGCAAGTTTTTGTTTCAAGAATTTAATCAACAACAAACCTGTGTTGTATCAACCTATGAAAGCTACTGACCTTTTATTTTATTCTTTTTATCTATTATTTCTACTATTAACTGCCATTTTTATTTAACCTAGATGCATGCAATAACAAAACAACAACAGTTTTTTTGTTTTGTTTATTAATCAGCAATAAATATCACTCACCATAAATGCATCAAATATATAAATATATAAATATCTATATATATATATATATCTATATATATATATATATATATATATATATATATATATATATATATATATATATATATATATATATATATATATATATATATATATATATATATATATATATATATATATATATATATATATATATATATATATATATATATATATATATATATATATATATATATATATATATATATATATATATATATATAGTAAGTAACTTATTCAGGGTGGCCGCTCCACCTAAAAAATCCTAAAATATCTTAGTTTTGAAAAAAAATCCTAAAAAGATCTAGTTTCTCCTAATGTAAAGATGATTTTCTCAAATACTCCTAAATTCTCCTAATTTATTTGTCTTGAGTATAATGCATAAACTATTATAAGCCAAACAATAAAATTATGAAATGGTTCACACTTGGAGTTAGGGATCGTCCATAAAGTACGTACGCTCGGAGAGGAAGAGGAGGTCTGCAAATGGCGTTTCTGAGATAAGGGGGCGATAGGTCAATTATAAAAGTATGGTGACACTAAATTTAAAAAAATATCATAAAATGTTGGGTTAGTAAGTAAAAGAGTAGGTAATTTTAGGGAGGTAAAGAGTACTCAAAAAAGCGTACGGGAAATTGCGGAGGGGGGGGGGGGGGTTAGCGAAAAAAAAGCGTACGTATTTTATGGACGACCCCTTAATACTGTTGTATATGAGAGAAAATAAGTTACTCAAATTTTTTCAATATTTTTGTATTATTTTAATAACTTGAAAAATTTATTTTGATAAAATTTAAGCTTTTTTTTCTTATTTCTGTCTAAGTTTTGAGCATAAAAATTGTTTTTATTAAAATTTTGATTTGATTAAGTTGACTTAAAATAATTTTGTATTTTCAGAATAGAAAATGCCAGTTAAAGATAAAGCTAAATTTTAAAAGTTAAAATCTCCTAAAATTTATATACTATTTTTCATATTTCCCCACAAATCTCCTTAAAAACCTTAGAAATCTCCTAAATTACCCTCATTTTGTCAGACAAAAAAAGTGTGGCCACCCTGTTATTATCATTATTATATTATTGTTTTAAAATGTTTTTCAAAATTTTGTTTTTCAAAAATTTGTTTTTCAAAAATTGTTAAAACTAGAAAATTACTAAATAAGAAAATCTGACAATATATATCTTTCAAATTATTTTGTGGTAATTTTCAATTCAATATTCACGTTCTTACTTATAGTGTGAATTAATATTGAATTTAACATGTCCTTGAGTGAAAATTGTACGAATCAATTGCTAAATGCAAACAAGGAATAGTATATTATTTAGGTTAAAATTCATTTTTTAATTAACAAACACGGAACTTATTTGATTGTACATAATTTTAACAATTTTAGTTTGATTATTTGTTAATAACACTGAGTTTCTGATTGCTTTAATAGTTAGTCTATCTGGTTTTTGCGAAGTCACATACTTATATAATAACTTTGGATTTTTTTAAAAATTTTTAACTAATTCTTGTTCAAATAAATTCCTAACCATTAACGAAGTTACCTCTTTTATAATCCATTTT